GATTTTGTTGCATTGCTTTCCATCCCAGAATGCTGTTTGCACTGTACAGTAGACAAGTTGCCAGGGTCTTTTATTTGTCTACTGTTTAGCTGTTTTCCTGGGCAACACACTTCCAGTGAGAATGAATGAATCTGCTCAATGTTGGTTTAAGAATTCTCATGCGTTGGTGGTTGAACATACACTTTGAGGTCATCCTACTGAGCTTCCTGCTACTTGAAGCTAAAGATGTTTCTAAATGTACTAACTTGTTTTGTTCCACTTTAGGAGTGTATGAGAAAGAATGCAATGGAGAGATCGTGACGTACTGGGAAGTGAGTTACCCCTCTCCTATGTGCAACAGAGATGTATCCTTTCTGCAAAAAGCACCATCGCTAGGGCCTCTCGTGTCTGTGCCCGCAATGTCTAGGTTGCCCTCTCAATGCAGAGCCTGGGAGGCTGGTCTTGCGGCACTGATTCTGTAAGATCAAAATGGATACTCCACGGTATTCCATGTTTAATTAAACATTTAAATGGTCAATGTTTAAATAAAAATTTAAAAAATCATTACAGTAAAAAATACATTGCCATTACTGTTGCAGCTGTCTGGATGTCTTGAATCAATTAAAGATGTTTATGGAAATTTCTGTCAAATAAAAACATAGTGGTGTGTGCTCATCTACCTTATGCACTGGATCTGGTACCATGTGATTTCTGGATCTTCCTCGGAGTCAAGATGAGCATGAGAGGTAGAGGATTTGAATCAGTGTAGCACCCTGAAGCTGCGGAGTCAGCACAACTAAAGACACTCACCAACGAGGAATCCTAGAGCTGCTGCCGAAAGTGGTGCACTGTGAGATAAGTGTATTTGAAGCAAGAGGAGTATTTTGAGGGAGATTAACGGCAATGTGTCTTTTACTGTAATACATTTTTCAATTTTCATTTAAATATAAATGTATATTTAATAAATTTAATAAATGTAAATTTTTTAGTACATTGCATAGGCATGTGGTGTTCGTTACACAGTAAAGGCTCGGTAAGGAGTGACTCTTGTTTCTTAGAGTATAATTACTTTCCCTCCAATAGAGGCACAGATCTAGTGGTTGTTCTGTGGATGTGTATGGGGAGGAAATGGCTTTGTTGTGCACAGTAAACCACTGCTGACTGAGAGAGGACATCTTCTTAGTAAATACCCAGGCGCTCATGCTCCTTACTGCTGCCAGTGGTTGCAGCATTGCCGACATCCCTGCATTCAGATCTGCCATCAGCACTTGGGTGAGGTCAGGTCAAAGCAGAATGACACCACTATCTCTCGGTGCTTCTGCCCTAGTCTTTCTCTCCAGCTCCCACCAAGGCTATGGAGAGCGTATTACTCCCTTTTCTTACCTACAGACACTGAGTCTCAGAGAGGTAAAGGACTTGCCCAAGGTCACAGCTGACCAGTGAGCAATCCCTTGTCCTCTCCAAGTGCCTTTGGGAGAAAGGAGGAATTGTTTCCTTGCATGATTCAAAGCATCAGTGAATCTCCTCCAGGTAGGTGATGAGAAGCCTAGGTATATGAGACACCGCCTCAGAGTGCAGACGGGGAGGCAAGGCATTAAATGAAGTACCAACCAAAGGGAGCAGCTGCCACGTGGGAAGCACAGACCTTTTTCGCTTGGCCCACTGCTTTTGAGGTTCCCCCTGGGCAGTGCTGCTGGTGATGCCAAGCCTTGACTGGCAGTGCAGTATGTCTACATCCGGCAGCGGCGAGACCTGGACGTGGATGGGCGGAAGTTCTACGTGGTCCTGGCAGAGAGCATCTGTCTGCCTGAATTTCCCGAGAAGTCGGGTGTGATCCGGGTAAATGAGTACAAGCAGAAGCTGGCGATTGCGAGCGATGGCAAAGGGGGTAGCAAAGGTAAAGCCTGGGGTGCAGGTCGGCAGCCCAGCTGGGCCCACACTGATGAAGAGACAAGTGAGGTGCTTGGAGCTTGTCCCTGGCAGTCAGCGGATGGGCAGGCACAGGTGCAAAGCTGACAGGGATCGGCACCTGAGGAGAGCCTTCACCCACCCCCAGACTTGGCCAGAGTACGAAGAGAGGGTCGATTCGACCCAGCCCACTCTGGTCTAACTCTTGCTCTGGTCCTGATAAAACCCCATCAGAAGGAAACCAGAGGGCTTAGACCAGAGGGCTCAGAAGTTCTCTTCAGGCTGCTACCCTGGCCAGACACGCCAAGCTGAGGGTGGGCAAGAGTGTTGGGCACATCTGTCTTGTCAGGGCAAAGCCAGACTCAGGAGGACCTCTCTGTCTTAGGTTTCAGCCCTTGGAGAGGCCGGTGCGGGCAGAGAGAGACCTCCAGCCACCTGCTGTACTGGGTTCTGTGTGGCTCATGCTTTAGACAAAATCTGAACCAGTGTTCTGACCCTGTGTAGCTGTCATAGCCCGCAACTTCTCTGACTGTTTTATCAATAAAGTGGGCT